TAGGCGTATGGGGTCCGTAGAGGATTGTCGGGCTTCAAAATTCTGAATCTTAAGCGATAATGGATAAGGATGTTCACATTTGGTCCATATAGCACGTTCTATTCAGATGAGGTTAGTTCGTGAAGCTTGTGGTGAAAAAACCTAGTCACATCGTTTCTCCCTCTTTGATACTATAAGGTAAAACACACTTTAAGCGTAGTCCTATTTAGATACTGCTTTTAATAATAATTTGGACTAGCGAATGGCAACAGAAGACAATACAATTGAAACGATGGCACTTGGAAGGCCATTTGGACTGGGGATGTTATATGATTACAGAAACGATAGATTGATTCCAGCAATGACATTATGGGATCCTGATGTTTTAGAAAATCAGTGTGTCACTAATAAACTACCATTTACAAACTATACTGTCAGGACAGAAAAATCACTACATGATAAGACAGATTTAATGACCAAGGGAGGTAGTCTCAAGTTGAGCGTTCTTGTAGGTCTCATTGATGTTTCTGGTTCCGCAACGTATGTAAATGATCGAAAAGAAACAAAACATGATGAAAGAGTTATATTGAAATATTCAACAACTGTGCACTACAGACAACTCACAATGAATCATCTTGCTGCAGAAAAAATAATTCATACTGACATACTTGAGCAAGATGTTGCTACACATGTTGTCACAGGAATCGTTTATGGTGCTGATGCGTTTTTCGTCTTTAATCGGGCATTGTCAAAAAATGAAGAGAATACTACAGTAGGTGAAAAAATGGAGGTACTGCTACATAAAGTTCCAAAGATTGGTATATCTGCTGGCGTCGAACTAAATATGAATAATGATGATAAGAAATTCGCGGAATCATTAACGTGCACATTTTACGGTGACTTCAATCTTGAACAAAGTCCAAGTACATTTGAAGAAGCTGTGAAACTATATAATGTATTGCCATCGCTTCTTGGATCAAATGGAGAAAATGCTGTAGCTAAAACAGTTTATCTATATCCACTTCGCTTATTGAACAGACCGAATATGAAAATGGTTTGTCACATTAGTCAAAATTTAATTGATAGTTGTATATCCCTCATCAACGACTTATATCAGCTAAAAATGCAAGCCAATGATTTAATCAATGATGGCTGTCCTACTGTTCACCAAAATAAAGAACATCTAAAAATATATAATAAGTACATTGACCAATTCGAAAATGACGTTAAAAAGAAAATGATGGAACTGTTGCCGAAAATTCGAGGTGGTATTGTTAATGAAATTCAACTGCGCGATTTTCTTGACCAAGTGGAATCATCTCCGTTTAACAGGCAAAAGCTTTTCGATTGGATTAAATTAAAAGAAAGAGAAATCACAATGGAGAGTAATTTCATTCAACATTGCATAGCAGATCGAAGAGTAGATTCATCACCCAATGCGCTGGACAATGCTCTTAGTGACTGTCAACGTGTTCATATAATTTGTTTATCTATTCATTTAACAAACAAGAATGATTCTTATTTGCAGGACTTGAGTCGGTATCTTGGTGAAGGAGCCTTTGATAGACACAAAGAAATTACACAAACTTCGTGGTTGGACGACCAAAATATTCTTGCAGAAATTCGAGAAAAGGCAATCATTTTCTTCAACTTACTTCAAGGTAACGCCGATGATCCAAAAATCAAATTCGTTATTAGTGACAAATATATTGATAAGCAAAAGAATCTTGAAGGTACATTTCTGAACTTCTACGAGAACGGTAACAAAAAGAATGTTGAAATTTCAAGTAAACCTGACCAACCTATTATTACAGAGATCGAATACGACCATATTCTCTTGACTTGGAAAAAATCACAGAACGGAAACAATAACGTTCAACAATATAGCATCATCTGCTTAGAGAAAAACGACAAAAACTCGAAATCAATGTTGACAGTTACTGATGATTCGGAGTCAGTACGGGTACCAAATTTAACTTCCAACACGGCATATCTATTTAAGGTGCAGGCATTGACAACAAGTGGTCTTGTGATCGATAGTGACGTGAGCGATCCCATTATAACCAAACCGCTAGGTAAGGATCGCTTTTTTTTCTAGCATTTTCGAAGAAAAGAAGTATGTAAAGTATGAGATCTATCAATTTTGTCTTGAGGGCGTGAGGACGTGGATGTGCGTGTGAGTGGATGCGGGTATGGATATGAGTGTAAAAGATTTACATTTACAGCTACACCCACATCCTCAACAAATTATGATGGTAGAATATGGTATCAGTAAATTGTAACTGTCGGCAAAGTGTATCAGATCCTTCAGAGACATAGAAAGAATCTTACAAAGCGACAAGTAGTTTTATGTAGTATATAGATATTAAAAACTTGAAAAAATGGTACTTCACATACCTCTCGGAGTCTTCGGGCAGATAAGTTGTGTGAATAGTAAAATGACAATACGTTTGAATACTTTTTTTATCTTCTTCCATCCGTATATGTACATTTATAGTTGCGGACATCAATGTACTGATAATGCTAAGGCATAAAGTTTTATAAACCTTCCTGCAGTGAGGAAACTTTCGTTTCTCCTTAGTAAAAGTTGATCTTTTATCAGAGAAATATTACAAAACAGGAAAAAATGATATACTCCTACCTAAAACAGATTCTATGTACAATCCTTCGACGTTTTCCTCTCTACATTGCTACTGGGAAATATTCGATTTACTGATGCAGATCGAAATTGAATTGCCACTCTTTCACTTTGGTAAACACAGGAGGTTTTTGACATACAATTTCTTTTTTTTCAGTTTATGAGAAAGGAGTAAGCAATGATTTTTTTCTGTTGTTTGGTCTAATCTTTTCGTAACAAAGTCTACAAAAATGTCGAGGAAAACGAGAGCTACTCTTACAATGATGTCAACAAATGTGGACTACACTTCCGTAGTATATATCTGGTAGAATACTCTTGAAAATATAAGACGACAGATCTTACTTAAAACCATTTTGTGCTTATTGATGTTAAAAAGCAATAATTTAATTACTCACTATAATTTATGCACATAAAGTAATTAAGAGATTTAACCATTCTTCAGAATTATCCGAAACAGAAGTTGTCCTGAGTGCGGAATCGAATTTTAAATGAAAAGCCCTTTGAAAACGGATCTCTGAATATTCAAAACTAAGACCTAATAACCACTGATCGGTTATGTGAAAAATATCTTTTCAGTTTACGTCCTCGCCCTCCTCAGGGATCTACAGAGTGAACAAATCTTTTTCGCTTTCTGAAAGAACCATCCCATCCACTCCCTCTTGAACGGAACCTTGATTATTTTTTCCAGATGTGAACTTTTGAGGTCGAAACAGGGTGTTGAAGAATGACTTTGTCCTTTTCTTTCTTTTGTGTCCATCTGCACAATGACAATGTTAGGCGCCTTCCATCTCGAAGGGAAGTTTTTTTCAAAGATGATTCTACCATTTTGCAGAGAGCGCAGAGTTGCATAATATATGTGCATATTAGCTTGGAAATCCCTGAAGTCGCGTCACAATAGCCGATATACCGTCCCAATATATCCTTTTTGGTGATCAAAACACGATAGTCTCAGGCATGTTTTCCTATCCCTTAAAACTTAGTACATCACCGTTATACATTAGAACCTTGTGAATATACAGAGTCTGATTGGTACATATATGTTATAATAAACTGAACAATTACTCTTCAGATTTTCACTTGCGTCATCCGAATATTCATCGTATAATGACTAAAATTGCCGACTTCATATTGTCCACAATATCGTCAACTAAGAAAGGAACCCGAAAATTTGATGACATGGCAACTTGTAGAATATGTCTGAAACATTTTGTTGATCCACTTTTATTGCCTTGCTCGCACATATATTGTTTTGATTGCATATGCAAAGAAGCTTTGAGCACCGATGGTAACTTCATGTGTCCTTTGAGGGATGGAGCTACAATTAACAGAACTGAAATTGATTCATTACGTTCGAATTCCACTATGGTTGAGCTGGTTAAAATGGCATCCAATGTGATACCTGAAGACGAACCACAACAAGAAAATGGTAAGCATTGAAGTAGCAGATACACTTTCAAAAATACGGATGCGACATTAACTTGGTGGCAATCGTCACGCAATCCTGCTTTAGGTGAAAGGCTCACAAAATATAATTTCTTTTTGTGTTCTAGAACCAACAGAGAAGCATGTATGCAAGTCAACAACCCCAAAGCGATCAGAGTCAGAAGGTCACAATAGCTCCACTGATACTACAAGTGATCATGGCGATCAATCATTCAAGCTAACAACCCCAAATAGATCAGAGTCAGAAGGGCACAATAACGCCATTGACACTACGACTGCTCATGGTGGTGAACTACAATTACCCAGACAAAATATGATATCTATCAATGGTTTACCATCGAACATGACCGACGAACGCCTGTTCAAAAGATTAGAGAAAGTATTTTCAAATGTCGGTAAATTTAAAGTAAGAAGAACAAATTCCACTAAATGTATACTAGATTCGATTATTTCTTATTTAGATTAATCAACAAACAAGGAGAGCGTCCATCGATTTATTTCGAGACATGGATAGCACGTTTCAATCGAAAGTCACAGCAACGATTACATTTGAACACGAAGAATCGGTGATGGAAGCAATTCAAAAATACAATGGTAAGCTCAAGTAGAAACGATGGTGACCATGAACAGAACACATGATCATATCTATTTTAGGAAAACCCGTACCAATCTTAGATAGCCCTAAAATTTATGTCAAGAAGTCAGAAATGTAAACCTCAAGATCACCGACACAAACACCGCCACCATCGGAAAATCTAGATAGCAAATATTGACAATAGGAACTTCTCAAATACCATACCGAACGATAAAGTTAAAGATTTTTTATGAAATTGTATATAATTATGAGATTTGAATTCATTTGAATGAAAAATAATAATTTATGTTGTTTCTTCTTTAAATCTAGTTTTTCGGAAATTTTCGATCTTTTTCCGGTGTAGGTGTTGCGGGTGTGATACTTATCTTATATCCACACCTACATCCATTCTTACCTGATGATTATGTAAGACTAGCATCAAAAGCTCGTAAATAATGAAAAATTTCTTTTTAATATTTTCTTTTATTTTCTTTTAAACTCTACTTATAATTATAATTTAAATCAACTACAGCAAAATAAAATCTCACAGTTACTCCATGGCATGATACACATAAGTGATTTATAATATATAGCTGATGTTCATGGTGAGAATAGAAAAGAAAATAATTATAAATAAAACCATGTGCATTTGTTTTGAGAAAAACATTTTAAGCAAATATTCTCTACATTTTACAGATGTTCGAATCTGAATGAAATTTGGGTACTTTCACACTTTATTAATTCATGAATAATGAATAAAATCAGAGAGAAAAATGTTCTCTTGTTAACGATTATATACGGTTTGTGATTGTTGAAAGATCATCCATGATAGCTAAAGACATAACAGGTTTGTGCCATCCATCTCGGCTTTCAACACCATGAAATCCACCTGCTACATAACACATCTTCTTCTCATTTGTATATTCACTCTCGAATTCAACTAGAGTGACGACTGTATCTAATTGAACCTCATCAATATTGCACGATTCTTTCGTATGAAGACCATAGCATAATTGAAGAAACCAGCCCGTGAGTTTTGTCCAGCTCCTATTAGATAAAAGTATAATATATACAACAAATTAAATCATTTGTAGATGACTCATGCTTGTACTCACCCTGATCCAAGACCAAAGTGTTCAATATTAAAGATTTTATCCCAAAATTCATTATCCACTTTGCCCTGATAAGTATCAATGAACTGATTAAGTACTGGTAGAAGACCTTGAATATAGGATGAAAACTCATCGTTAGGCGTTGTAAAAGCTTGTAATTGTGTCGTCTTTTGTCGAAGCAGTAACCAATCATCGAGCGTACCCAGAAAGTGTACTTTTCGAATGCCACACATTATCATAAAAAGCCCATAGTCGAAATATTTTTTAAAAGTATTCATAATTGTGGCACAGGACAACAATGATTCGACTTTGCCCGTAGTCGAATAGTTGGCCGTCAAAAGAGAAACAATGTCATTTTTAACATTTTTTCCTATTTCTGTACGTAAACTTTCGAGAAAAGCGTTCCAACTATGAAAATATAAATTCAGAAATAAATGATGAGAAATATGAGTTTCAACATCACACTTACTCAGGTTCTTCTTGGTATTGTTTAATAGTTAATTTGATCTTTCCTTCGTGATTAACAAAAACACTACGCAACTTTTCGGTATTCTTATTGACATATTTAGCAAAATAAATTGTAATCATTAACCAGATATCACTAAAAAACGTAAAAGAAAAACTATAAAACCCTGTTCTCACATAAATACGAGTTACTCAGGTGAAAGGACAATGTCTTCATGTGAATTGTAAGCATTGAGATATGCATGAAACAACGCATGACGACCAGGAGATGATGTGTCTGAAAATATAAATGAAAATTGTTCGAGCACTTTGAATTTATTGGATTAAACATCCACTTTTGAAACAATGAAATAAATATAATGCTGATGCAAATTATTTTATTCCTAGTAGAGAATGATATAGCATTACTTACATGGTCCATTAGAAATTATATGTTGCACTTTGAATCGATCATGTTGAATATTACTTCCCCATTTGCCTGCGGTAAGATAATTGACGACTCCACCGATCCAATAATCCTCTTGAGGCAGATCTTTAGGCTCTTCAATTTTATATCTCTGTTCAATCTTTGGTAGATCAGCACGAATAGCGATTGTATGAAATCGTTCATTTGAAGTACAAGCAGTCACAGTCACGAATGCCTATATAGGTTAGTTATGAAGAAAAGGAAAATGAAAATGAAAGAATAAATATATACTTTCACATCGCAATAAGCGCAACGTTAAAACACATGGATCGATAATGTAATTGCACAAAATAATTTTTCTGTCGTCAGTCTTTCTTTCCTTTTTCTAACGCATAGTAATATAGATTAATTCATTCATCTGTATATTTTTACATGATCATTGAAACGTTTCTTTGAGAAGGGTGTGGACATCGATAAACAAAAAGATCTTCATTGTTACTGTATCGAAACTTGATATGATGATCAAATGAAACTCTGATGCACACTATATATTATAGAATAAATACTTTTTTCAGTCGATAAGCTCATTCTAGAAATCTATATAATATTTGTAAGCAAAGGAGAATATTAATATTCAAATAGTAGTAAACAGAAAAATAATGCTATAGGTATTTTGTATTCAAATGAATAGAATAAAAAATAGTGGTAGAAGTAATTGGTCAATATTCCATTTCTTTTCAAAAGATATATCTTTATCGTATAAGATATATACCTGTTTCGCTGTAGATACAGGATATATGAATGCAATTTGAAGATCTTGAGGGTGTGGGTGTGAGTGACTGATTAAGAGTAAACCTATACCCATCCACGCCTTCTAGACATGATTAAATTCTCTTTTATTTTATTTTAATTTTATTTGATATTAATAATCAATAAAAAGTC